AGGCCGGAGGCTTCTCCAGCGCAACAGCTCAAAATGCGTCTGTTTTCCTCCTGTCTTTGGCTTTTGTTAAGGTCCCATTCTCACAACCAAGGGGCACACAAGACGGCAGACTAACCTACATTTGGCTAAGCAAGCTGATGTCCTTGCTTTTCTATATTTGGCTCATGTTTACCATCGATATCATCCATCAACAATTCTACCCTAAGTGTCTACCGGAGACTTCGATGCGTCTAACTTTAGAGCCTTTTAATTAACGAAATGGAATGAGATGGGAAAGGGGGGTTGCTGCAAAGCATCCACATTATCGTTATTTGCACGAGCATAATCATTAGCATTATTGTTTTCAAAAATGTCTCCAGGCTCCATAAGAATCCCAGGGGCATTTCGATGATATAAAAATAACGGGAGGTTTTATTAGGAACTGTATGCATCATTCTACAAGGGGTGGGTGGGAATAGAGATGTAAAGGCCTATTTTGAAAACCAGAAACTTTTTTTAATTGGCAGTTTTTCCTAAAGCCTCCCCCCAAACAAATAATAATTAAAATAAACTGGGGGGGGGAAGAAGGGTGACATTTTCCTATTATTATTTTTTTAAACTGTGCATAAAATGGGATTTCTCCATGATCAATGACAGGAGTGCACCTAGAGTTCTGCATCCAGTTTTGGTTACCACACTATAAAAAAGATGTGGAGACTCTAGAAAGAGTGCAGAGAAGAGCAACAAAGAGGATTAAGGGACTGGAGGCCAAGACATATGAAGAATGGTTGCAGGAACTGGGCATGGGTAGTCTAGTGAAGAGAAGGACCAGGGGGGACAGGAGAACATCTTCCAATATTTGAGGGGAAGAGAAGAGGGAGTCAAGCTATTTTCCAAGGCACCCGAAGGCCAGAGAAAGAACAATAGATGGAAACTGACCAAGGAGAGATTCAACTTGGAAATAAGAAGAAATTTTCTGACAGTGAGAACAATCAACCAAGTTGCCTTCGGAAGTTGTGGGAGCTTCATCCTTAGAGGTCTTCAAGAAGAGACTGGACTGAAGTGGTGGGTTGCACTAGATGACCTATAAGATCCCTTCCAACTCTGTTAATCTGTTAATCACGTGTATATGTTGCCTATCACTCATTTCACTTCAGGGAAGAGAAGTTTCAATACAGACAAATGTAGATTTTTGTGAATGCAGGAAAGGATTTTTAAAAAAAGGATACGATGAAGCAGAGAGATTGGTAGGAGTGGATGTACTTCCCATGCAGGAAAATGGACCACTTCTCACCTCCTATGTGGCAAAATAAGAATTGGGAGTTAATTTATTTAGAAATTTTATATAGAATTCCATCTTCAGTATAAAACACTGGGCAGAAAATAATTTTAAAAAACAATATTTTCTGTATTAACCAATTAAAAGAATCCAGTGCAAAAGGGAATATATGGGAATATAAGGTCAACCAGGAATATATATATATATATATCTTCCCTTTAGGAAGTTATATAACTTCATAAAAACAAATGTACCTATTGGGCAGAAAAATAATTTTATGCACAGAGAGAGTATGTGCGTGCATATTGCGTATGTTGCTAAAGTCTACCATATCATTATAGCTTGTGAGATCTCACATTAAACCTGAAATCTAGAGTCTCACATGGAAAGGTGCCATGAGCTGATATTTCTGGGAGCGTTTTTAGCCTGGCTCCTGAAATTCATTTTTAAAAAAAATGTAAACCCCCCCTCTTGCAACGCGTATTTGAGCCCATATTTTGATTTATCAAACTACCCCAATTGCATTTCATAGCCTAGAGAAATGCCAAATTTATCAAGGGTAAAATTCTAACTGTCCCCAGGGCTACGGAGATTCTCCGTCACCCAGGTCATGGTTGTCCCAAAGATGCTTTCTTCAAAAGGCAATTGGGTTGTCTTTGTTTTTTTTCCTTGAAGACATTTCGCTTTTCATCCGAGACGCTTCTTCAGTTCCTGTTGAAAGGTACACTACCACATTTGTCCAGGGTGATGTCATTAGAGTTGTTAACCTAATATTGCGAAGCTTCTTCTCCAGTAACTGTACTGCTAACTAGGGCGTACAAAACCTTTGCCAGACCAATCCTCGAATACAGTTGCCTTGTTGAAAGGTACACTACCACGTTGTCTTGTTAAAGGTACACTACCACGTTTGTCCAGGGTGATGTCATTTAGAGTTATTAACCGAATTTTGCGAAGCTTCTTCTCCAGTAACTGTACTGCTAACTAGGGGATACAAAACCTTTGCCAGACCAATTCTCGAATACAGTTCGTCTACCTGGAATCCACACTGTATATCGGACATTAATACGATTGAGCGAGTCTAGAGGTATTTCATGAGAAAAATCCTCCGCTCCTCTGCTCACAATAGAATCCCTTACGCCACCAGGCTCAAAATTTTGGGCTTGGACAATCTGGAACTACGCCACCTACGGTCTGACCTAAGCGTGGTTCACAAAATTGTCTTCTACAACGTCCTACCTGTCAACAACTACTTCAGCTTCAACCGCAGTAACACACGGGCAAACAATTGATACAAACTCAAGGGAAACTGCTCCAAACTCGATTGCAGAAAATGCAACTTCAGCAACAGAGAAGTCAACACCTGGAATGCTCTACCTGACTCTGTTGTTGCATCCTCAAACACCCACAGCTTCAACCTTAAACTGTCCACCATGGAGCCCACTCCATTCCTAAGTAAAGGAGGCGTGCATAAGCGCACCAGCGTGCCTACCGGCCCTGTCCTACTGTCCCCATTCATTTGTACTCATTTCATGTGCTCATGTCAATATTTATGCCTGTTATCCTGTACATGTTTGACAAACTAACTTTCGCAAAGCCATTAAAACCTGGCTTTTCCGGCAGGCCTTCTGATTGGGTGTTTGTTGTCTTTCTTTTTAACTTCATGTGTCCTATTGTCTTTTTCTTTTTAATTTCTTTTTATTCTGTAAGCCGCCCGGAGTCCTTCGGGATTGGGCGGCATAGAAATCAAATAAACTCAACTCAACTCAACTCACTAACTAAATAAATTAGATGATTCTGCTCAGGTAAAGGTTAAGGAGCCCTCGTGTGAAGGTGGAGTCCCTAAATAAAAAGTATGGAGAGAGTTGAAGCAAACAGCATCTCTTTTTTTCCCAATTGTAGAACAACGTAAACAAACAGGATCTTTTTATCCAGGAAACCTGGTTGGACCAAACGAGGGCTGCGTTCTGCTCGCCATAAATCCATCCCTTGGTTTTCTGTGGTTAACAACCTGAGCCTTATTTGAGAGCCTGAAGACATCATTTAGATTACGGGAGATAAGTGGTGTCATTTTCACAATCAGGATTGGAAAGTTGGATTGCTCTGCATCTCAAGTAACGGGCTTCTGTCATCGGCTGGTTGACGCCTAGATTACAGCTGTCAGTCCATGTATTTAAACTGCCTCCTTCGTTGCCCAGGGGCTCTTGAACTCCTCATCTGGCTGAGAGACAAAG